AATATTGAAAGGCTGATTACAATAAATTCTAACAAACTTGAAATATTTTGTTAACAATAATTATTCCCAAGTATTCACTCATTCTCAATATGAATATATTTGAAGAAAAAAAGGAAAGTGAAAAATGGTGTAAAAGATATATATTCACAAATTCCACATTTTTCTTTTTTCTCTGTTGACAGAAAGTGATAAATCTGGCTTTTTGTGTAAATCATTGAATATTTTAAAATTCACGCCTCGCTAGTATGGGGAATTTTTATGTTCATTATTTAAAAAGTTACAGAAAAGTAAGATAGGACTAAAATACAGCCTCAGTTGGAAAATATGTCTTTTCAGTTAATTTTCTGGAAGTTTACTGTTTTTTGTAAAAATTTTATTTGTCACAAATATCGACATTTTCAAAGTGTGACTTTGAACTTGGCTTGAAGACCTTTGCAAGTCACATTTCCTGTATATCCATGATACTTTTGTTATATTTTTAAAAAATTGATGGTCATTATGCTGTTAAGCATTATGTTATATTGTATCAAAATTGAAGCAACCCCTATTTTGGCCACTCCCTCCATAGTGACCACTAAAGAAAAACCATGTCACTTACTCTTCTCAGGCTTACAGAAAAGTAACAGGAGTAAAATACAGCTTCAAATGGAAAATGTGTCTTATTGGTTAACTTTTTTTGGAAATTATATAGTTTTTCATCAGAATAAAAAATTTTACACATCGAAATTTCTAAGGTGTGACTTTGAATTTCCATTGTCTTTGACCTTTGACCTCAAAGACCTTTGCTAGTCACATTTTCTGAATATCCATGAATTTTTTTCTGTAGAATCTAGGAGTGAGTTTAGATATTTGAAACATTAGCCGATATCTCAGACTTTTAATATGAGTTACATGCCCTCCCCCACACACTTTCACTTATCCAGAGGATTTTAATTACAGTTTTTAGATAATTTTAGAACAATATTAAGCTTCACTGCCCATATTTACGCCATAATTAAAATCAGCTTAGGCCCAATTAGTCTTTTCTCTGGTTGCACTATGATATTTAATATGTAAGCGTGGTTTTCCACCCCCCCCTTGACACAGATCTAATAAAAACTTGTCCATAGGTTATTATTCCATCATGTGTTTTTCAGGTGAGGAGTCCAAAGAATAAACCTTTATTAATGGCAAATTACAGTTATTAACTTTTCAAGTGGTTTTATCTCTTGTTCTGGCTAAAGTTGAAATGCAGGTTAATATTGAAATGAAGTGTAGCTAAGATGGATGGTTACAATAATTGATTGTCCACTGTCTCCTTGGAATGTTAATATGGATTTTTTCTTACAAACTTGAATTATTTTGTTAACAATAATTATTCCTCAGTGCTCACTTATTCTCAACATAAATACATGTTTGAAGAAAAAAGAAAAGTGAAAAATGAAGTTATTGATACATTCACTTTCACATCTTTCTTTTTTCTCTGTTGACAGAAGATAATATTTTTTGTGTGTGTGTGTGTGTGTGTGTGTGTGTGTGTAAATCACTGATACATTTCTACTTCCTTGTGGACAGTTAACTATTGGCAAGCTTCTTTGAACTGGTACCATTTAAGTTTTTAGGTGTCTACTTTTGTTGGAAATATATGGAGGTATATACTTAGAACTACTTATTATTAGAACTACTTAACAAAAATAAAGATATGATATACGATGTCTTTTGTCCTCATGAATATGTCATAATGTTTTAAAAGTCCTTTTTCCACATCTTTTTCACTCGTTGCTGCTTAAGCTGTAATAATATTTTTGCTGTGTGCAGTTTTCTGTGCATTTTATCTAATTCAAATGATTCAATAAAACTTTTTAAACTGGGCTTTTATCATTTAATGTTGCTGACATTAGAAATTGTATGTAAGCTCTGTGTTTATTGGACGTACTTCATTGCAAAATGTAGCTTCTTCTTGTCTGAGACTCAGACTCATCCCAAAATATGACTGAAAAAAGGCTTTTTTAAGAAGAAATATTTTACTTAATTACAACAAAAGAATCAATTACAAAAGGCACACTTATATAAAAACCATTAAAGCTAATTACACCAATAAAAGAAAGAGTATGAAAAAACATGTAAAGAGAAGAAAGCTGTTACACAGGTCCCTAGGCTGACAAGGCATGCTTTGAATATAGCAAACATTGGTGGTTTTAATTAAAGAAAAAAATTATTTTCTGTTTGTACCAATATCATGTGATTTCCTTTTTCTATCTCTGTTATTGTCATAATTTAAAATTAAAAGACTTTTTGAAAATGTATTTTAAGTAGATGGCCACATTGTCAGTGTCAACATGGACTCCCACAGGCAATAAGAATATATGATGACCACCAGTATAACAGGAATGTGTTTACTTATATATATATATATATATATATATATATATATATATATATATATATATATATATATAAAGAAAAGAATGTCAAGATGACTTCATCCTATCTACAACCAGTTCTTCATCACCTTCCTATAACAACATTGGAAGGTATATGATCTGTGACATTGGTTGTCCAGAGCAACATAAAGAAGGCTCAGAACATAATTAATACCCTGCTTTTCATGTAAGTGTGATACTTAAAACTAGCCTTTAAATGTTATCTGTTTTAATACTGTCAGTGGAGTCAGTATGTCAGTGGTGTTAAGACTTGTTTATCTATGCATTTAGGACTAACATATCTGAGGTGGAAGGTTGAACGTGAAACAGTTCAACTGGTGTAAAGCTTTTACTGGAGATGAATGGTTAATGCAGTAGTTGGGATCATGCGCATTCATTGAAATAGGAGGATTGTTGAATGTGATCTGTGGGCTCCAACTTAGCGTGGACTCGTGCTAGATGCAGATTTTATATAGGTTTCTGTGCGTTTTTTGTTTAATTGTGATATCAGAATAATCTGGTAATCCATGTTTGTTATTGATGTAGGAGGAATTTGGAATTTAGTGGTATAAAACTTAACATATAAAAAAGGAAATTCGCTGATACAGTCAAAAAATTGAAGTAAAAAAAATGTGAGATCTTTGGGATAAAATGTAAGAAGCACTGCTCACACTAGCATACAAATTTTCTGAAAGACTAAATTTGATATGGATATATATACAACCAAATATTTTATACACAAACACTGTATATGCTTCCATATATTTTTTTCTCTATCTCATCACTGCTGGACAATTTTGTTGTCTTTTTGATAGGGCAGGATTTTTTAAAAAAAAGTTCTTGCATTATCTATAAGTATTCAAATAAACCTGAGACGGAAAATTAATTGGATTTTCATTTTAATCTGTTTTTGTGAAAAGTGGCCAGATCATATTTAAGAAAATATATTTCAGGGTTGCTCCATAATAACCAAATGGTGATTGCAGCAGGGTATAAAATATGATTATATTTTAATATGATATGTATTCAGGTAGACCTTTTTCTAGCATGTCTGTATTAGGGAGGTGAAGTCATTCTAAATATAACACTACAACTAGAAGATCTTGCCCTTTTATGTTTAATGCAATAAAAATTTTAATGGATACTGAAAAAGACCATTAAAAGTGTAAATGAAGCTGTATCAGAGAGAGGGAGAGAGAGATAGCTTTGGGATAATAATAATTGGTGAAAAGAGGGTAAGGTGGAGAAATTACTTCATTGTGAAAACTATGCATTTTCCAATTCTCTGAACTTATCACATGATGAAATTATAAACAATGGACAAGTTTTATCAGATTTGTGTCAAGGAGGGTCAGAAATCACGCAGACAAATTATATGTCAAATTGCATTCCAACGAAAGACTAAGACTAACTGGGTCTAGATTGACTTTAATTATGACTTACATAAATATGGGTTGTAAACCCAGCAGGCATAGTTGCGTTGGATCAACATTGAAAACAGGTTGATACATTGAATTGCCATTGATCTACCTCAATTTAACGTAAAATCAACGTTGATCCAGCCATGAGGAACACCGTCATAATGTGACGTTGACTCAACGTTGTATTTTGGTCATTGACACAACCTTGCAGACATGGATTATATTTTAAAATATTAATTGTTGAAAAGGTGATACTTTGTTTATCAATACTGTAACTAACTTTATCAAAATAATCAAAAAAAGTGTTAAAAGTAAAAGTGACAGTTGTTTTGTGTCTTTAGTGAACTGGTGAATTTTCTTAGCTTGTTATTCAGAAATACATTCCAATAAACTGCATTCCTTGCAAAGTCAGCTAACACAAGGATGAATAAGTTGCTGTAAATGTGATGGAGTGAATTAATAAAGTTAACAGTTCTTGGTAACCTGTTATACATAGACAGGTTGAGGTGACTGTGACTTTGTGACTATATATATATATATATATATATATATATTAATCTAAACCTTGGAAATTTTAACTTAAAGGCCATACTATTATACCCTACCCTCAGGTCATTTCAATGTCTTTTCATGCAAGAATGTTGTCAAACAACTGGGGTTGATACAATGTTGTTATCTGACGTTGATACAACGTTGTTATCCGAGGTTGAGTCAACTTTCAAATCCAATGTTTATCCAACATCTTATCAACGTTATGGTTCAACGTTGTTTCAATGTTAAAACAACATATTTTGCCCGCTGGGAAGCTATACATTGTACTTAAATTAATTCTCTAAGTACACTAATTAAACCCACCCACCCAGTGTAAGGAGGGCATGTAACTTAAAACAAAATCTTCCAAAAATAAAAACTCACTTGAAGATTCAATTCTTAGAATATGATCATATCAGCAGGAGCAGTTATTGCCCTCTATGCTGACCATTTGTACTAACAAGTTATTGGAATCAGTAAGTGACTGATAACCTAGCTCCATTTATATCATGATAAAATGAGATCATCATTATGATATTCTCAGTTCATTATATATGTTTTATTATAGTTTCTCATCAGGTTTCCTCCAAGTCAATAGCAAGGTCTGAGTTATATTGTATAACAGTATGTAAAATGTGAACAGCATTTATTGAAAGTACTGGAATGTCTTAACTTTGCCTTCTACCTCTGCCACCACCAGCTGACCAAATGGGTTGATGGCTACTGCTATGGGGTACACCAACCCATCAAAGTATCTGATAAACTGTCCTTGAGGACTCAGTGCCACTATCCTGTGGTTACCCATGTCAGCAAAGAAGATGTGACCATAGCTGTCTGTGCACACTCCCTGTGGTGACCTCAACTGACCAACACCACTGCCTTCTGTGCCGCCATAATGGTACAGCTGATCACCAGTAGGTGACAGCACATGTACACAGTGTGTGAACCAGTCTGATATCACAATGTTATCATTCACATTGTTCACTGTGATGTACCATGGGGGGACACATGTACTGAGTGGAATAGTGTTCAGGAGCTGTCCACTGTCTGCATGGAATGTGAAGATGGAATTTTTTATTCTGTCACCAACCAATATATGACCTTGTCTGTTCACTGTGATACCACATGGCCTCCACAGTTGACCCTGACCCATCGTTGTCACTTGCTGACCCTTTGGTGGAGTACACTTTAACACATTTCTCACCATGTGATGTTATATACAGGTGACCAGTCTGTGACACAGCCACATCAAATGGTCGGTTAAATTTTATGTCAAACTTGAATTGCCCTACATGTGTGAATACCTTTGTTCTTTTATTACTGTTATCCACAATAAACATATGTTGTTCATCTATGGCTAGCCCAGTTACGAACATACTTTTATCATCTTTGAGTTTTGGATGGAAGGAATGTACACATTCAGCCTTCTCTAAGAAAACAGGAAGATGTGGTGCCGGTCTTGGATTTGGTAGATTTTCCTCCAGTCTAGAAGGTCTAGGAGGTTGTGACTGTTCTATCACCTCTCCTAACATGGCTTCCAGTCCAGGAGTAGATATGTCACCAGGGCTGTAGGTTATCTGTGGTGGTATATCTGGAGTTAGTACTGGCATTTTCTCCATCACTGTAAGTCTCTCTGTCAGAGCTTTAGTGTGAATCATGATGTCAGAGGCGGAACCAATTGTGATAAGTTCCTGAGCAAAATTGCACGCACTCTGTAAGGAGGCATGGTTAAGTTCAAGGGTGTCCTTGTTGGTCCCCTCCTGCTTTTTTCTGATATCATAAGCAGAATTCACTTCTGATATCAGTATCTGCTCTTTCTGATCTACAAACCTTCGAATACGTTGAGCCTGTTCTTTGATTTTGTTGATGGAGTCTGCCCTGATTTGTGATTCTTGAATTTCACTGGCAATTTCCTTGGCAACTGCTTCTTTAAACATATCAAGTTTTGGCAAAGTTTTCACAAGGACAGTTTTAATCTTGTTTCGATTGGTATTTACAGCTTCTTTAATTTGCACAATACCATGTCTGTAGTGGTCTGTTAACGCGCAGTCACCACATACAACAATATCATCATCTTCACAATAGTATTTCTGTTCATTTGATGGATGCTTATCACATTTGGTGCCATGTGTCACTTCTTGCACATCAGTTTCCTTAATTGTTGATGGTACCTCATGCTGCTGTTGCTGACTGAGAAGTTCTCTTGTTGTGTGAATACGGAAATCTTTTTTCAGTTTCCCAAGTCCTTCCCTTGGAAATTGTATCTCCTCTCTACAAAGGGGACACAAAAATGTCCTTTTGGGAGTCATGTTTTGAGTAGCATGGTCACATATACAACCATAGCAAAATGTATGGTAACAAGGCAGCACACGGGGGTCCTCATACTCTCCTAGACAAATGCTACATGTCAAGAGTTTATTCGTGAAAGCTGCTGCCAGTGCCTGGGCCATATTGTCACATCAGAGCACAAGGCAAGCATTCAGCGAGTAGTTCAACATTAAAATGTTAGCTATCTATCTCGAGTACTCTTTATATGGTGGCAGCAGATGACCAGGTGATGGTGATGTTAAAAATATTTATGGAAACAGTGTCCATAATGATGACATGCACTATATTTGATATGGTTGTTTGTGCAAATGGCAATGTTGCCCAATAAGGGACCATTCCCAGTCCCTATATATGGTACTAACTGTGGACCGATCTATCTCTGAAGGGATTCTCACTAAATTGCTTTCAACTTAAGCAGCTTAAATGTATGTCATACCTACTGAGGCTGTTAACGATAATTAATTACCCCTAGCAGCTTTAGTAGGAATGACAGACAGCTGAGCTGCTTAAGTTGAAAGCAATTTAGGAAGAAAACCAGTGGAGTTGGATCAATCCTATTAGGTCGATGGGAACCTAGTCTAAAGCAACTACTGCTCCTGCCTACGTGATCATTGACTGATAGAGAAAACATCAGTGTCTCTTAGTGCTGTTAATGTGCATGTCATTATAAAAAATTTACATTTCTTTTATATGGACATTGTTTTACATTGAACTCCTCACAAAATTAGATTTTTTTTTTCTGTAGAATCCTAAAGTAAGTTTAGATATATGAAACATTTAGCAAAATGCTCAGACTTTTGCTGTGAGTTATATGCCCACTCCCACGTGTACCCCATTACACTTATCCAGAGGATTTTAATAAGAGTTTTAAGAGAATTCAATAAAGTACAATAGCTTCACAATCCGGGTCTGACAGGTGTTAACAGTGCCTTAGGGCAGTGAGAAGGTAGTGGCCATAGTTTTGATCACGTCAATTTCTGTAAAGTTTCTCTTATCACGGTTCAGTGATTGATGTGACGGGTACGTATCAGCTAGTGATATCTAATATGGCTGCATTGTTTCCGCCCCTCCTTGATACGGATCTGATAAAACTTGTCCATTGTTCATAATTCCATCATGTGTTTGTCAGCTGATAACTTCAGAGAATAAACCTTAATTAATGGAGAATTACAGTTATTAACTTTTAAAGTGGTTTTATCTCTTCTTTGTACGTGATAATATTAAAAAAAAAACTTTACTTGGGTTGTTCAGACTAGTAGTTGAAATTCACGTTAATATTGAAAGGAAGTGTAACTAAGATGGATGATTACATTAATTGATTATGCAATAAATTCTAACAAACTTGAAATATTTTGTTAAAAATAATTATTCCTCAGTACTCACTCATTCTCAACATACATATATATTTGAAGAAGAAAGAAAAGTGAAAAATGAGGTTAAAGATACATTCACAAATTTCACATCTTTTATCTCTGTTGACAGAAGGAGATAAATCTGGCTTTTTGTGTAAATCACTGAATATTTCAAAATTCATGTCTTGCTAGTATGGGGAATTTTCATGTTGGGTAACAAAGGTTTCAGCCTATTTTAGTTTTAAAAATAACATTTCTTTCAAATAATATTAAGACATAAATACTAACAGAAATAAGACTGTACTAAAGGGGTTTTACAACATGTACGTTTATTTTACAAATGCATTTTGTCCTCAGCCTCAAGTATATTTTCCACAATGCCTTGTTACTAAGGTTTTGCAAATTTCTATATGAGATAGCAGTTTTGGCATTGTATAGTGTGAAGCATTTGTCTGTGCAATGTCACCATATCGTCTAGCTAATAATGAATGTAACTAAATTTAGTATTTTATTAATGACCAAAATATTACAAAACAACTAATAAAAACCTGAGGCAAAAGATACATCTAAAGTTTTTTTTTCCATTTTTAAAAACACCAACACAACTTGGAAAGTAGCCAGATGCTCTTTATTGAGTAATTTAAAACAAATATTCTAGCCATTTTCTACTTAAGCAAAAATAAACTAGATTGAATTGAGAATTGACAGTAACATAGGTTTGAAATTTAGTTGTGTTTTTTGTGTGGAGTCAGTATGTCAATCGTGTTAAGACTTGTTCATCTATGCGTTTAGGACTAAGACCCCATTCCAACAGATTTTAGATCGATCTATCCCTGTGGGGAGCCGGATGGATCGATTTAAATCTCTGAGAATGCACTCTTACATATCTGAAGTGGAAGGTTGAATGTGAAACAGATCAAGATCAACTGGTGCAAAGCTTTTGCTGGAGACGAGTGGTTAATGCAGTAGTTGAGATCATGCATTCATTGAAATGGGAGGATTGTTGAATGCAATCTATGTCATCTATGGGCTCCAACTTAACGTGCTAGATGCAGATTTTATATAGGTTTCTGTGCATTTTTTGTTTAATTGTGATATCAGAATATTCTTGTAATACATGTTTGTTAATGATGTAGGAAGAATTTTGAATTTAGTGGTATAAAACTTAACATATAAAAAAGGAAATTCGCTAATACAGTCAAAAAATTGAAGTAAAACAAATTGTGAAATCTTTGGGATAAAACGTAAGAAGCTCTGCTCACACTAGCATACAAATTTTCTGAAAGACTAAATTTGATATGGATATATAACCAAATATTTTATACACAAACACTGTATATGTTTGCATATATTTTATATATAAATTATAAACAATGGTGTGCTATCTCATTACTGCTGGACAATTCTGTTGTCTTTTCGATAGGGCAGGTTTTTTTAAAGTTCTTGCATTATCTATAAGAATTCAAATTAACTGAGAAAAATTAATTGGATTTTCATTTTACTTTACTGTTTTTGTGAAAGGTGGCCAGATAATTTTTAAGAAAATATATTTCAGGGTTGCTCCATAATTACCAAATGGTAATTGCAGCAGGGTATAAATATAACAGTATTCAGGTAGATAGATCCAGAACTTTTCTAGTATGCCTGTATTAGGGAGGTAAAGTCATTCTAAATATAACACTACAACTTAGGGAAAGTGGGGTAGAGTTATATAAAACGTTTGTTATTATTGACCAGTCCGTAGGTAACCATGCAGTGACAGGGAGACAGGTCAGTTGGGGGGGAGGGGGGGGGGGAAGGGGGGATATTACCGAGTACATCTTACCCCTTTATTTTTAAGAAAAAGATTTCAAATGGATCTAAGAAAGACTAGTTAGATAATAAATAAAGCTATATCAGAGAGAGAGAGGTAGCTCTGGAATTGGTTAGGAGAGTAAGACCCCATTCCCAGAGATTAGATCGATCTACTTTAGATCGATCTAACTCCCTGGGGGTTCACGCTAAATAGCTGTCAGCCGAGCGGGCACGAGAGTTAATTACCCCCTTACAGCTTGTAGTATGCGGGATGGACATTTAAGCCGGATTATCTGACAGTAATCTAGTGAGACTCCCCGTGGGGATAGATCGATCTTAAAGCTCTGGGAATACGCCCTAAGATGGAGAAATTATTTCATTGTGAAAACTATATACATCTTTTAAACGTCTGGACTCATCAATATGATGGAATTAAAAACTGTGGACAAGTTTTATCAGATCTGTGTCAAGGAGGATCAGAAACTTTGCAAACATATTAAATATCATAGTGCAGTCTGAGGAGAGACCGAGACAAATTGGATCTATAGACTGATTTTTAATTATGACTTAAATATGGGTTGTAAATTTATACATTCTACTTTTACTTCAAGATTCAATTCAAAAATAGAATCATGAAAAATTTTAGAAAAATTTCTCAAGGAATTCAATGCAAAGCACTATCTACATATATACAGTGTTCATGTAATGTCAAGATGTCAGAATAACACAATGTTAACTAAAGCACTTAATAATAATTAAAAGACGCTGATGTTCTTTGTATCAGTATATTGCGTCATATCAGCAGGAGCAGCTGTTCCCCTCTTTGCTGACCATTTGTACTCATAAGTTATTAGAATCAGAAAATGATTGATAACCTCCTTGTGTATCATGATAAAAAGAGATCAGCTATATAACACCTGTCAGTTCATTATACACAGTGGAATGTCTAATTGTAGTTTCTTAATAGGTTTCCTTCAAGTCAATAGCCACGTCTGGCTTCTATTGTATAACAATATGAAAAATGTCAACACCATTTATTGTAAGTACTTGAAATTAAGTCTTAACTTGGCTGCCATCTTATCGTAAATACTGGAATGTCATAACTTTGCCAGCTTCGTCTGTCACCACCAGCTGGCCAGCAGGGTTGATGGCTACTGTCATGGGACACAATAACCCATCATCCTCAGTGGCAATGTTTGTGATGAACTGTCCCTGTGGACTCAGTGCCACTATCTTGTGGTTATAATAGGCAGCAATGAAGATGTGACCATAGCTGTCTGTGCACACCCCATGTGGATAACCCAGCTGACCATCACCACTGCCATATGTGCCGTACTGGTACAGCTGGTTACCTGTAGGTGACAGGATGTGTACAGAGTTACTGCCCCAGTCTGATATCACAATGTTATCATTCAAACTGTTCACTGTGATATAAATGGGGTCTTCACACATACTAAGTGGAATAGTGTTCAGAAGCTGTCCACTGTATGGATGGAATGTGAAGATAGATTTGTTTGAACCATCACAAACCATCACATGACCTTGTCTGTTCAGTGTGACACCACTCAGCATCTCAAGTCTACCACAACCCATGGTTGTTAGGTGCTGACCCCTGGTGGAGTACACATGGACACATTTGTCACCCCGTGATGTTATATACAGGTGACCAGTCTGTGACACAGTCACATCAAATAGACTGTTTACTTTAAAGTCAAACTTGAATTGTCCTTTATGTGTGAATACCCCTGTTTTTTCACTAGCTCTATCCACAATATACATGTGTTGTTCATCTATGGCCAACCCAGTTATGTACATGATTTTATTGTCTTTCAGTCTAGGACAGAAATTGTTCACACATTTTGCCTTTTCTAAGAAAATGGGAGGATGTGGTGCTGATCTTGGATTCGGAAGATTTTCCTCCAGTCTACAAGTTCTAGGAGGTTGTGACTGCACTGTCACCTGTCCTAACATGACCTCCAGTCCAGCAGCAGATATCTTACCAGGGGTGTAAGATATCTTTGCTGATATGTCCAGAGTTGCTACTGGTATTTTCTCCATTGCTGTGAGTCTCTCTGTCAGAGCTTTACTGTGAATCATGATGTCAGAGTCGGAACCATTTGTTATTAGTTCCTGAGCAAAATTGCAAGCACTGTGCAAGGAGGCATGGTGAAGTTCACGGGCGTCCTTGTTGGCCTCCTTCTGCTTTTGTCTAATATATCCAGCAGAAGTTACTTCTGATATCAGTTTTTGCTCTCTCTGATCAACCAATCTTCGGATACGTTTAGCCTGTTCTTTGATTTTTTTGATGGACGCTGTCATGAGTCTCGATTCTTCTCTTTCAGTGGCTGTTTCCTTTGCCACTGCATCTTTGAACATGTTTAGTTTTGGCAAAATTTTCACAAGGGCAGTTTTAACTTTATTTCGATTGGCATTTGCAAGTTTTTCAACTGGCACAATACCATGTCTGTAGTGGTCTGTTGATGCGCAGTCACCACATACAATGGTATCATCTTCTTCACAGTAATATTTTAGCTTATTATCAGGATGTTTCTCACAACTGATGGTCATTTCTGCATTTGCTTGTGTCACTGCTGCTACATTGGTCTGTTCACTGTCTAATGTCCCTGTATATGCTTGTTGCTGGGTAATGATGTCCTTGGCTTTGCTAAAGACAAAGTTCTTTTTCAGATGACTAAGTCCACCAGCTGGAAACTGGATTTTTTCCCGGCAAACAGGGCATAAAAATGTTCTATTTGGAGAACTAGTTCTCTTAAAATGGTCACATATACAACCATAGCAAAATGTATGGTAGCAAGGCAGCACACGGGGGTCTTCATACTCTCCCAGACAGATGCTACACGTTAAGAGATTATCCGTGAAAGCTGCTGCCAGTGCCTCGGCCATATTGTCACATCAGAGCACGAGGCAAGCACTCAGTGAATAGTTCAACATTAAAATGTGAAGCATCTATCTCAAGCACTTTTTACTGTGGTAGCAGATCCTCAGGTGATGGTGACCTTGAAGTTATTNTCGGAGTCGTATTTTGAGTAGCATGGTCACATATACAACCATAGCAAAATGTATGGTAGCAAGGCAGCACACGGGGGTCCTCATACTCTCCCAGACAAATGCTACATGTCAAGAGTTTATTCGTGAAAGCTGCTGCCAGTGCCTCAGCCATATTGTCACATCAGAGCACAAGGCAAGCATTCAACATTAAAATGTTAGCTATCTATCTCGAGTACTCTTTATATGGTGGCAGCAGATGACCAGGTGATGGTGATGTTAAAAATATTTATGGAAACAGTGTCCATAATGATGACATGCACTATATTTGATATGGTTGTTTGTGCAAATGGCAATGTTGCCCAATAAGGGACCATTCCCAGTCCCTATATATGGTACTAACTGTGGACCGATCTATCTCTGAAGGGATTCTCACTAAATTGCTTTCAACTTAAGCGGCTTAAATGTATGTCATACCTACTGAGGCTGTTAACGATAATTAATTACCCCTAGCAGCTTTAGTAGGAATGACAGACAGCTGAGCTGCTTAAGTTGAAAGCAATTTAGGAAGAAAACCAGTGGAGTTGGATCAATCCTATTAGGTCGATGGGAACCTAGTCTAAAGCAACTACTGCTCCTGCCTACGTGATCATTGACTGATAGAGAAAACATCAGTGTCTCTTAGTGCTGATAATGTGCATGTCATTATAAAAAATTTACATTTCTTTTATATGGACATTGTTTTACATTGAACTCCTCACAAAATTAGATTTTTTTCTGTAGAATCCTAAAGTAAGTTTAGATATATGAAACATTTAGCAAAATGCTCAGACTTTTGCTATGAGTTATATGCCCACTCCCACCCCATTACACTTATCCAGAGGATTTTAATAAGAGTTTTAAGAGAATTCAATAAAGTACAATAGCTTCACAATCCATATGAAGGTCTGACAGGTGTTAGCAGTGCCTTAGGGCAGTGAGAAGGTAGTGGCCATAGTTTTGATCACGTCAATTTCTGTAAAGTTTCTCTTATCACGGTTCAGTGATTGATGTGACGGGTACGTATCAGCTAGTGATATCTAATATGGCTGCATTGTTTCCGCCCCTCCTTGATACGGATCTGATAAAACTTGTCCATTGTTCATAATTCCATCATGTGTTTGTCAGCTGATAACTTCAGAGAATAAACCTTAATTAATGGAGAATTACAGTTATTAACTTTTAAAGTGGTTTTATCTCTTCTTTGTACGTGATAATATTAATAAACATACTTTACTTGGGTTGTTCAGACTAGTAGTTGAAATTCAGGTTAATATTGAAAGGAAATGTAACTAAGATGGATGATTACATTAATTGATTATGCAATAAATTCTAACAAACTTGAAATATTTTGTTAAAAATAATTATTCCTCAGTACTCACTCATTCTCAACATACATATATATTTGAAGAAGAAAGAAAAGTGAAAAATGAGGTTAAAGATACATTCACAAATTTCACATCTTTTATCTCTGTTGACAGAAGGAGATAAATCTGGCTTTTTGTGTGAATCACTGAATATTTCAAAATTCATGTCTTGCTAGTATGGGGAATTTTCATGTTGGGTAACAAAGGTTTCAGCCTATTTTAGTTTTAAAAATAACATTTCTTTCAAATAATATTAAGACATAAATACTAACAGAAATAAGACTGTGCTAAAGGGGTTTTACTACATGTACGTTTATTTTACAAATGCATTTTGTCCTCAGCCTCAAGTATATTTTCCACAATGCCTTGTTACTAAGGTTTTGCAAATTTCTATATGAGATAGCAGTTTTGGCATTGTATAGTGTGAAGCATCTGTCTGTGCAATGTCACCATATCGTCTAGCTAATAATGAATGTAACTAAATTTAGTATTTTATTAATGACCAAAATATTACAAAACAACTAATAAAAACCTGAGGCAAAGGATACATCTAAAGTTTTTTTTTTTCCATTTTTAAAAACACCAACACAACTTGGAAAGTAGCCAGATGCTCTTTATTGAGTAATTTAAAACAAATATTCTAGCCATTTTCTACTTTAGCAAAAATAAACTAGATTGAATTGAGAATTGACAGTAACATAGGTTTGAAATTTAGTTGTGTTTTTTGTGTGGAGTCAGTATGTCAATCGTGTTAAGACTTGTTCATCTATGCGTTTAGGACTAAGACCCCATTCCAACAGATTTTAGATCGATCTATCCCTGTAGGGAGCCGGATGGATCGATCTAAATCTCTGGGAATGCACTCTAACATATCTGAGGTGGAAGGTTGAACGTGAAACAGATCAGGATCAACTGGTGCAAAGCTTTTGCTGGAGACGAGTGGTTAATGCAGTAGTTGAGATCATGCATTCATTGAAATGGGAGGATTGTTGAATGCAATCTATGTCATCTATGGGCTCCAACTTAGCGTGGACTCGTGCTAGATGCAGATTTTATATAGGTTTCTGTGCATTTTTTGTTTAATTGTGATATCAGAATATTCTGGTAATCCATGTTTGTTAATGATGTAGGAGGAATTTTGAATTTAGTGGTATAAAACTTAACATATAAAAAAGGAAATTCGCTGATACAGTCAAAAAATTGAAGTAAAACAAATTGTGAAATCTTTGGGATAAAATGTAAGAAGCTCTGCTCACACTAGCATACAAATTTTCTGAAAGACTAAATTTGATATGGATATATAACCAAATATTTTATACACAAACACTGTATATGTTTGCATATATTTTATATATAAATTATAAACAATGGTGTGCTATCTCATTACTGCTGGACAATTCTGTTGTCTTTTTGATAGGGCAGGTTTTTTTAAAGTTCTTGCATTATCTATAAGAATTCAAATTAACTGAGAAAAATTAATTGGATTTTCATTTTACTTTACTGTTTTTGTGAAAGGTGGCCAGATAATTTTTAAGAAAATATATTTCAGGGTTGCTCCATAATTACCAAATGGTAATTGCAGCAGGGTATAAATATAACAGTATTCAGGTAGATAGATCCAGAACTTTTCTAGTATGCCTGTATTAGGGAGGTAAAGTCATTCTAAATATAACACTACAACTTAGGGAAAGTGGGGTAGAGTTATATAAAACGTTTGTTATTATTGACCAGTCCGTAGGTAACCAGTGACAGGGAGACAGGTCAGTTGGGGGGGAGGGGGGGGGGGAAGGGGGGATATTACCGAGTACATCTTACCCCTTTATTTTTAAGAAAAAGATTTCAAATGGATCTAAGAAAGACTAGTTAGAAAATAAATGAAGCTGTATCAGAGAGAGAGTAGTAGCTCTGGAATTGGTTAGGAGAGCAAAATGGAGAAATTATTTCATTGTGAAAACTATATACATCTTTTAATCATCTGGACTCATCATATGATGGAATTATAAACTATGGACAAGTTTTATCAGATCTGTGTCAAGGAGGGGCGGAAACTTTGAAAACATATTAAATATCATAGTGCAGTCTGAGGAGAGACCGAGACAAATTGGATCTATAGACTGATTTTTAATTATGACTTAAATATGAGTTGTAAATTTATACATTCTACTTTTATTTTAAGATTCATTTCAAAAATAGAATCATGAAAAATTTTAGAAAAAAATTCTCAAGGAATTCAATGTAAAGAACTATCTACATATATACAGTTCTCATGTAATGTCAAGATGTCAGAGTAACACAATGTTAACTAAAACACTTTATAATAATTAAAAGACGCTGATGTTCTTTGTATCAGTATATTGGGTCATATCAGCAGGAGAAGCTGTTCCCCTCTTTGCTGACCATTTGTACTCATAAGTTATTAGATTCAAAAAATGATTGATAACCTCCTTGTATATCATGCTAAAAAGAGATCAGCTATGTTACACCTGTTAGTTCATTATACACAGTGGAATGCCTAATTGTAGTTTCTTAATAGGTTTCCTTCAAGTCAATAGCCACGTCTGACTTCTATTGTATAACAATATGAAAAATGTCAACACCATTTATTGTAAATACTTGAATGTCTAAACTTGGCTGCCATCTTATCGTAAGTACTGGAATGTCCTAACTTCACCAGCTTCATCTGTCACCACCAGCTGGCCAGCAGGGTTGATGGGTACTGTCATGGGACACCATAACCCATCTTCCGCAGTGGCAATGTTTGTGATGAACTGTCCCTGTGGACTCAGTGCCACTATCTTGTGGTTATAATAGGCAGCAATGAAGATGTGACCATAGCTGTCTGTGCACACCCCATGTGGATAACCCAGCTGACCATCGCCACTGCCATATGTGCCATACTGGTACAGCTGGTTACCTGTAGGTGACAGCACATGTACAGAGTTACTGCCCCAGTCTGATATCACAATGTTATCATTCACACTGTTCACTGTGATATAAATGGGGTCTTCACACATACTAAGTGGAATAGTGTTCAGAAGCTGTCCACTGTATGCGTGGAATGTGAAGATGGATTTGTTTGAACTGTCACAAACCATCACATGACCTTGTCTGTTCAGTGTGACACCACTTGGCATCTCAAGTCTACCACAACCCATGGTTGTTAGGTGCTGACCCCTGGTGGAGTACACATGGACACATTTGTCACCCCGTGATGTTATATACAGGTGACCAGTCTGTGACACAGTCACATCAAATAGACTGTTTACTTAAAAGTCAAACTTGAATTGTCCTTTATGTGTGAATACTGCTGTTTTTTCACTATAGCTCTATTCACAATATAAATGTGTTGTTCATCTATGGCCAACGTACCCAGTTATGTGCATGATTTTATTGTCTTTCAGTCCAGGACAGAAGTTGTTCACATATTTTGCCTTTTCTAAGAAAATGGGAGAATGTGATGCTGATCTTGGATTTGGTAGATTTTCCTCCAGTCTACAAGTTCTAGGAGGTTGTGACTGTACTGTCGGGGCCGTAGCGATAGTCCGAAGGTTCAATAGTCCGAAGGTTCATTGGTCCGAATGTTCACTATAGAACCTTCGGACCAATGAACCCTTGATTAAAAAATCGATGAAAATGTTACCACTTTTCGGACCAATGAACCTTCGGACCAATGAACCTTTGGACTATCGAGACGCCCCCGTACTGTCGGGGCCGTAGCAATAGTCCGAAGGTTCAATAGTCCGAACGTTCATTGGTCCGAATGTTACCACTTTTCGGACCAATGAACCTTCGGACCAATGAACCTTCGGACTATCGAGAAGCCCCCGTTCTGTCACCTGACCTAACATGGCTTCCAGCCCAGCAGCAGATATCTCACCAGGGGTGTAGGATATCTGTGCTGGTGTGTCTGGAGTTGGGACTGGTATTTTCTCCATTGCTAACAGTCTCTCTGTCAGAGCTTTAATTAGTATGAATCATGATGTCAGAGACAGAACCATTTCTTATTAGTTCCTGAGCAAAATTGCAAGCACTCTGCAAGGAAGCATGGTGAAGTTCAAGGATGTCCTTGTTGGCCTCCTTCTGCTTTTTTCTAATATATCTAGCAGAAGTTACTTCTGATATCAGTTTTTGCTCCCTCTGATAAACCAATCTTCAGATACGTTTACCCTGTTCTTTGATTTTGTGGATGGACGCTGTCATGAGTCTTGATTCTTCTCTTTCAGTGGCTGTTTCCTTTGCCACTGCATCTTCGAACATGTTTAGTTTTGGCAAAATTTTCACAAGGGCAGTTTTAACTTTATTTCGATTGGCATTTGCAAGTTTTTCAACTGGCACAATACCATGTCTGTAGTGTTCTGTTGATGCACAGTCACCACATACAACGGTATCATCATCTTCACAGTAATATTTTAGCTTATTATCAGGATGTTTCTCACAATTGATGGTCATTTCTGCAGTGGCTTGTGTCACTGCTGCTACATTGGTCTGTTCACTGTCTATTGTCCCTGTATATGCTTGTTGCTGGGTAATGATGTCCTTGGCTTTGCTAAAGACAAAGTTCTTTTTCAGATGACTAAGTCCACCAGCTGGAAACTGGATTTTTTCCCGGCAAACAGGGCATAGAAATGTTCTATTTGGAGAACTAGTTCTCTTAACATGGTCACATATGCAACCATAGCAAAATGTATGGTAGCAAGGCAGCACGCGGGGGTCTTCATACTCTCCCAGACAGATGCTACATGTCAAGAGATTATCCGTGAAAGCTGCTGCCAGTGCCTCGGCCATATTGTCACATCAGACGGTGGCGGATTTAGGCCGTCTTCTGGGTCTTCCGGAAGACGGTCAGATTTTCAAGTTTACATTGACGGGTATCTAATTTTTTCTGTCGGAAGACGGTCAAAAATGGAGGAAGGATCAACAAATATAATTTGTAAGACTCTCAGAAAATATCTCTGGATCCGCCCCTGTCAGAGCACGAGGCAAGCACTCAGTGAACAGTTCAACATTAAAATGTGAATTAAGCATCTATCTCAAGCACTTTTTACTGTGGTAGCAGATCCTCAGGTGATGGTGACCTTGAAGTTAATCGTGGAAACTATGCTATGTCAATAATGATAACATACACTATGTATGATATGGTTGTTAGTACAAGTGGCCATGGAGCAAAGAGAGGGGAGCTGTTGCTTCTGCTGATGTAATCATTTACTGATACAATTAAATAACATATGTACGTGTCTCTTTATTCTCATGCTCTTAACAGCACTGTGTTACTCTGTCATTACATGAAAAATTATCTTTTCTTATATTGTCTTATCTGGTATATTGAATACCTCATGAAATTAGATTTTTGTTTTCTTTAAGAATTCTGAATTGAATTTACATTTTTGGATCAAATAGCATATTTACTACTATTAGATATACTCTGCATATTACTCTGCAGGGGCACATTAAATGTAATAAAATTAATTAAATCTTGGGTCAATTCACCCGGTCGAAGGAAGATGCATGGGGAGGCGTGTGAAAGGCGGAGAGACCATTACAGGATTAAGCAGTCTTCCTTTCATGAAGGTCTGCCATATTTAGGTCATGGACCAGCTAGCACTCGGCTCTTCTCCTTCTGAATGGCCCCATTGAGATCAATTGGTACGGAGCCTTTGCTGGGGATGAGTGGTTAATGCAGTAGTTTGGATCATACATTCATTACAATGGGAGGATTGTTGAATGCGATCCATGGGCTCCAACTTATTCAACATATAAAAAAGAAAATTCACTGATAAAGGCAGATTTTTTTTGTAAAAAAAGCATCATGAGATCTTTGGGATAAAATGCTTATGAAAAAACCTTTATGACCAGTCCATAGATAACCAGTGGTAGGGAGACATGACAGTGTTTGGGGGGGGGGGCATTGCTGAGAAGGTCTTACAACTTTATTTTTAAGAAAAAGAGAATTTCAAATGGATATTAAAAAGGTTATTTAAAGACTGATCTCCATTTCAGCTTTAGGGTGGGTATAATATTTTGTTGTACTTAAATTAATTCCCTAAGGGAGCATTCAGATATCGGATATCAGCTGGATCCTTCCAACTCCACAAGGATATTTGGGTGTGCTCAAGTTTACAACCCCCCTGCACTTATGTAAAAATCCCTACAGAGTTAATGGATCGATCAAGCTAATAGAATGTCTGAATAAGAATATGCTCCCTAAAATCTCAGAACACAGACTTTCTACTGGTACTTGATACGTGGATATATTTTAGTCTGCAGTTTAGCCTTTTTATAATCCCCCTGATCAGTCTAAGGGGGGGGGGGGGTACAGAGTACTATATTAATATATTGTTTATCTTCCAAAAATAAAATTTACCTCAAGATTTATTTTTAAAATGGAATAATGAAAAATTCCAACAAAAACAAGGAATTCATTTTTAAGCAATATGAGTTGAATATCCACATATGACAGGCCCGTAGCCAGCAATTTTAAAAGGGGGGTTCTTTTTCTGAAAAAGTGGACCTTTTTCCATAAAAACTTCACGAACCTAAATCAAATGTTACCCAGAGTGGACCTTTTCCCAGCAAAAGGGGTGGTTCTTTCTAACCCCCCGAACCCCCCCTGGCTACGGGCCTGTATGAAATTTACATTTACAACAACATGTGGGTGGGCTTCAAAGCATTTATTGCTTTTCTAGCTACTATCACGAACAATGTTACATCATATGTCAGCAGGGGCAGTTGTTGCCCTCTATGCTGAGCACTTGTATTGATAAATTATTAACATCACTAAACGGCTGATAACCTCTTCATGATATTTTAATTAATGTATTATTGTAGTTTCTCTGCAGAATTTCCCAACTTGTCACGTTCAATAGAAAACAAAGTTACTTTAAAGTTTAGCATTGCCTTATATGTAAAATGTGAAGAGAATGATAATTATTACTCAATATTTTCAACAGGCAAAAATTTTCAAACTTTCAGATTCATATTTTTATAATCACAAAAAGTACATTTCTGTATATGTTCCATTTATTGTGCTTTATTATATAGAATCTAACTGTTTGCTTTTTTTAAAAATTAATTTTAAAGAAATTAATTTTTTTAAATTGTTGCTACCACAATTTTCACCCATTCAAACGAATGAGTATAATTACTGTATATTTTGAAAGAACCGGAATGTCATAACTTGACCTAAGCACTCTGCCACCACCAGCTGACCAGCAGGGTTGATGGCTAATGCTCTGGGAAGATTCAACCCATCCTCCTCAGTGGCAAGGTATCTGATGAACTGTCCCTGTGGACTCAGTGCCACTATCCTAAGGTTATGATAGTCAGCAATGAAGATGTGACCAGAGCTGTCTGTACACACTCCCTGTGGTTCACACAGCTGACCATCACCACTGCCATGTGTGCCATACTGGTACAGCTGATCACCAGTAGGTGACAGCACATGTGCACAGTGTGTGAACCAGTCTGATATCACAATGTTATCATTCACACTGTTCACTGTGATGTACCGTGGAGACACACACATACTGAGTGGAATAGTGTTCAGGAGCTGTCCACTGTCTGCGTCGAATGTGAAGATGGATTTTTTTTCACTGTCACAAACCATCACATGACCTTGTCTGTTCAGTGTGACACCACTCGGCATCTCAAGTCTACCACAACCCATGGTTGTTAGGTGCTGACCCCTGGTGGAGAACACTTTAACACATTTGTCACCCAGTGATGTTATATACAGGTGACCAGTCTGTGACAAAGCCACATCAAATGGTTGGTTAAGTTTTATGTCAAACTTGAATTGCCCTTCATGTGTGAATACCTTTGTTCTGTTATTACTGTCATCAACAATAAACATATGTTGTTCATCAACAGCCAGCCCACTTATGGACATGCTTTTATCATCTTTCACTTTAGGATTGAAGGAATTCACACATTCAGCCCTCTCTAAGAAAACAGGAGGGTGTGGTGCCGAAGTTGTATCTGTTCCATGACCAGGTAATGAAGGTTGTGACTGTCCTGTCTCCTGTCCTAACATGGCGAACACTCAGTGAATGGTTCAACAGTAAAATGTAACCTATCTTTCACTGGCTTTCTTTATACTGTGGCAGCAGATTATCAGGTGATGGTGACCTTAAAAATATTTGTTGAAACTGTACCATGTCAATAATGATAACATGCACTATATTTGAAATGTTGTTAGTACAAATGGCCATGGAGCAAAAAAGGGAGGGGGGCTGTTGCTTTTGCTGATTTAATCATTTACTGATACAAATATCATCAGGGTCTCTTAATTCTGATAATATGCTTTTAACAGTGTATTACTATCTGTAGTTTTATGAAAAATTTCCCATTTTTTGTGTGGATATTGCTTTACCCAGGCTATTGCATATCTCATGGAATTAGATTTTTGTTTTCCTTAAGAATTCTGAAGTTAATTCACATTTTGGATCATTGGCAAATAGCATATTTTCTATTAGATATACAGGCTTCCTCTGATCAGGAGATTTTTAATTACTGCGGAAGATGGACTGCCTAGCCTGAGATGGCATGCTTATCCTGGTAAGATAAATCCTGGTCTCATGAGGCCACGCCGTCAGTACGAGCATAGGCCCTTTTTGGCCGTCTTTCGGAAGTAGGCATATATTATTTCCTGCAATGTTATTTTGTGTTGATGTTGAAGAAATAACAACTTTTCTCAATGCTTGTTCCCGAATCAAAAGTTTTCAGCCCTTCTGTGATGAAGGTGAGGGTGACAAGTATGGAGGGGGTGGACTGGTTAATGGACGTCCCGCCGGATAGCACAATAGACAGGATAAAGGTAGCGGGTTCTAGAGCTCGTAAAAGAATTAATTAAAAGACGTGATTTTCAATGTCACTGAAACTTGAAAAAAGTGAATGTTTAGTAGTTCTTTCACGCGTAACTTGCATTCGATCTGCATTTTAATGTTTCTTCTTTTCAAATCAGAGTGCTCTAATTTGCTATGTTCCAGTAGTGTTACTATCATCGTTGCATTATCAATATCAGATAATTTAAAATAAAATGATGAGCATAGAGTCTGCAGGTATCGTGTCCATGAATTCAGCTGATGCCATTATACTGTAACTGTTGCATGCACATGCCCAAAATAGCCCCCCCCTCCCCCACCACACACACACTCACACACACACACACACACACACACACACACACACACTGACTGTAAAAAAGCAGAAAATACACAGTACAGAGCAGCACATTCATTTGTGGTGTGCCTAAATTGTACAGTACAGTGCAACACAGCGGAAGACACTTGAAAAAAAAATGAGTCCAGTTGCAATTAAACAAAGGAAACAGTCAACAAAATAAGGTGACATAAAAGAAAAATATATTACTAGTTAATCAATATTGTTGATGCAACTTAACAAGATTTTACTTACAACTGATCTCGTTTTTTCAAGGGTATTGTGCTATGTTGCACTGTATTGCACAATTTAGCCCCCCCCCCCCCCCCACCCCCCACCCCACCCATCCCACCCCCATTCATTTGTTTTGTTTTGTTTTGTTCTTGACATATGCCATGGTATAAGATGAAACAGTTCTATTTAAATGTAGTTTGTGTNTGTGCATTTCTAGAAGGATCATAACATAAAGTGGGATGGCTATATAAATGTGTATTTCTCGTCTAGAAGGCAGACCAGAGACACAGAGCTCCAACAAAAGAAGAGATCTGCGCGGCCACGGTAGCTGTCCCCATCAAGAACGCGGAGGCCGCGGCACCAGAGGAGGAGGAAGTGGTGGATGTAAGTGTCTCAAGTTGGTAATATAACTGATCTCATAACCAGACTGGGTATTAACTCTGAAGTCACTCCAGGCTGAAGGGAAAGCTAGATATTACAGGCCCTGCTTGGATATTGTAAACTCATCTATTTTTTCTGAGACACAAGATATGCCCACATGTACATATTTTATCTGGTTCCCTTTGTCCAAATTTTATTTTTTATTTATTTTTTTTTTAACAACTGGACCATTTGCACTGATGAATACATTCTTTCATCAAATTTCAAGCCTGGAACTCATGTGGACACTGTTTATTGCTCACAATTGTTTTTACTTTCAGTTTCATTCAGAAATGCGCAAGATATTGATTTCATTGATAGAAGCTGGACAACGTCTTCTCTGCCTGAATCCAAAAGCTGCCAAAATCTTCAGGGAAGCACAAGGTACATGTAATGATAGAAATAAAAAGGATGATTTATTGTGGTGATGTGTGAAAGCACAATATATATTGAAGGGGAAATAAAAATGGTGAAATTTTATGTATTTTGCTTGTGAAAATATTCACATATTTAAATCCATATATTTTGACTTCTTGGCATTTTCATGATGAAAGAACATGCTTGTGTTACTCCAGATTTAATGGACCAGCAGACTGACCCTGTAGTTCACGTAGAGCCAGAAACACTGAAGCAGCTGACAGAAATGGGGTTCCCAGAGAACAGAGCTACCAAAGCACTGATACTGAACAAGTTAGTATGGAAAAAAACGGCCTAGCAATGATATATATATTCAATTTCCACCAGGGCACAGACTCCATGAGACCAAATTTAAGTCTCTGTGTTCACAAAATTTCCACATAGACTAATTGAGGCCGTTGACAAAGTTTTCACAAAGACATTCATACTTAAGCCTGTTTTAGGAAGGTCATGGGTAAGTTGATGTTAACAAAATAAGTTTCAACTTCAGTTTGTTTCCCCTACCCCTACTTTGAAAGCCATTGTGTAATCCTTTAGTTTCTGAAAGCAGATCAAAGAGTGGTAATTGCATATATAGTAATTTCTCATCAAATGTGGCAACAACATATAATACTTTCCACCCTGTGAATTTTGCCTGCCCCTGTTTCAGTATGTCCCCAGTCCAAGCCATGGAATGGTTACTAGAACATGATAGTGATGTAGACATTGACGAGCCATTGCCAGAAATGAAAGCTGCTCAGAAAAAGGTCCAGAAGGTTGGTTTCTCATAATTCTACTTCAGAGATTTTACCTCTGTATCAGCTAGTCATTTACGTGGTAATATAGATATATATATATAATTGCTTTGAAGTTTGGATTGATCAGTTGACCAAAATTTGTTTTGTGTGAAAGAATATTTCAGGTAACTAGCAACATTTTTGGCATGCACTTATGCATATATATGCCAACACACACACATGTACACACATACAAACTTACACATACACAGGGACACTCTTGTTTAATCAAGCATAAATTGATCCTGTCATTTATCAGTTCAGTTCTGATTTCTGTGAAAATCGCTATGTATATAATTATATATATCTATGAAAATCGCTGAATTGTCCTCTTATAAACTTAAAAATCTAAATGTACATATTTCATATCTCTGCAGGATACAGAAGCCACCAGCAAAGAGAAAACAGACTTCATGAAGCCTGCCAAGGTCTCAGAGATTCTAGACACATTCAAAGCTTACAAGAGAAGAGAGTTCAAGGCAAATCCAAGGGTGAGTTGTCCTCTTTCTTACAGGATAAGGGATGGAAGTCTAGCTTCATCATGAAATCTGGATATTTGACTGTTGTATTTAGGATTTTTAAAGGTCCACTATCACTTTCATCTCTGAGGGATAGGTAGATCCAACATGGGTGGTAACTTACAGTGGGCTATTTTTTATCAATATTTGTATGAAAAAATAGGTTGTAGATGGGAAGTTGATGATTACTTAAAGTAAGCAATTTTCATCAATATTTTTGTCAAAGATTTAGGATTTAGATGGGCAGATATATAGTTTATTTCTGACTTGGTATTGACAGAAATCTTTTAATGAATGGAAAACATGAATATTTTTCCCAAGATTCAAAAAAGAAAAAAAAATCCTGGTGTTTGAAGCAATGCACTTGTGCCATGGAAGTTCATCTGAATTGTAGAATTGAAAAATGATTAATTTTCACAGGTTATGTCATGTTAAAGAGATCATAGTGTGGATTTTCAGACCAAATTTTTCTATAAAAAACATTTTCTTCTATTCATGAACCATTGCTTACAACTGAAAAATCTCAGAAGCTTTGAAGGATAAAACTATAAGTTTGAGACATTTCAGAATGTGTGGAGAAAACATTTTTCATAAAGTTTGAAGAAATCAGTAAACCTCATGTATTCACAAGGATAATGTCTAGTCCTTAAAAGATGTATGAGTGTGTGTGTTATATGCAAGTAAAACTTGGATATGACATATTTTAGGCATTGAGAAATCTCATGGAGATGGGTTTTCCTGAGACAGAAGTTGTGGATGCTCTGCGAGTGTGTCAGAATAATCAGGATGCAGCAGTAAGTTTATCATCATGAACATAAATGATAATAATAATGGTGATGATGATGATGATGAACTTGAATGTTAAGTATATACAGTTTAACACTGCAATCACTTTCTCTCCAATGGTGCTTTTCATGAAAATTTTGATAGAAAAAAATGAAGTTTGCTATTTTGACTTAACTGCTTACTGGTAGCTCATTATTTGGATACTGAAAGTCTTAGTCAACATTTTTAAGCGTAAAGATGAAATCTATATACAGTCAAATTTAAATCCAAAACAACTGCTATATTTTATACTAGGCTCAAGAGAATTGTTAATGAATTTGATTCAAAGTGAATAATTGTTTTATTCTTTCAGAGTTCTTATTTTAAAATCTCTAACATGGATGGTATATTTTTCTTTTTTTGATAAAACTTAATTTCTTAGTTAAAAAATCATAATATTTTTTTTCAAATTTTGTTTAGTGTGAGTGGTTGCTAGGAGACAGACGGCCACAGGCAGAAGATTTAGAAGTTGGTTTGAACCCCGAAAGTTCTGTGTACAAGGCTATCATGGCTAACCCTGTGGTACAACTGGGGTTAAATAACCCAAGAAGTATATTAGGTAAAGTTCTGTGTACAAGGCTATCATGGCTAACCCTGTGGTACAACTGGGGTTAAATAACCCAAGAAGTATATTAGGTAAAGGGCATTAAGCCATTTTTGATAACTTTTTCTGACATTTTTTCATATCAATTGTCTTGTATCATGTTTATTTTCTCTCTTTCTCCCTCCCTCCCTCTCTCTCTCTCTCAGTTTGATATATTTTAATTAAGCTGACTTTTTACTTTTTTCCATCTATTATCATGTTAGAATCACACCATTTCTCTATTTGATTTCAGCATTTCTCAACATGTTAGAAAATCCTGCCAGCACCAATCATTGGCTAAATGACGCTGACACGGGACCTATGTTAATCCAGATAACACGAATATACCACGCAGAGAAACACTCTGGGAACGGCGCACAGGCACCTGCTGCTGGTGGTCCTGGTAGCTGACTATATGTATAAACTATGGGTGACTGTGTTGACTCATTTTATTTGAAAAAAAAAAACAGATATTGACTTGTGTTTAACACAAATGTTCTTTTCTTATAGTCTGGTTATACTGTTTTATTAAAGCTAGACTTTCAAATGGACAGAATTGTTATAAGAAGATTTAGTGGATATTAGATTTCATTACTTCATGCAGAAGTTATTTCAAGGATTCAGCTGGCTGATTCCAAAGCAGACCTAACGTGCTTACTTGATAAATACATTGTTATCAACTAAAAATATTCACAAGATGTTTTACTTTATCCTGAATGTTCTATGTTGCCATGCCCATTTGGTCTTAAACTAGTTGCCCTATTCAAAAATTGTCTGAACCCCACTGGAATCATCTAAGATGTCCTTAAGTCTCGTGAGATTTTGTGAGATTTGGAGGAGAATCGGTTCAGAAAAAATGGCAGAATAGCAAGTGTGGTGTAGCATTGAATAAAAGATTATCTCATTTATCAAAGACGTTTTTGTATTTCTCTGAAATTCAGTAAAATTACAGTTTAAAGCACTTCAGTGCATATTCACCATGTAAACATTGAGAGAGCGCAGACCTCTGCCAAGGCAGCTCAGTTCTCAGTGTTATTTTAATATATTAAAATTAATCAGTATTTATGGAAAAACCACCAAATTCGACTTAATTATAAATTTGGCCATTTTGACCTATCTAGAAAAATTTATCAAAATCCGTGCTTAACTTTTTGTGTGAGGCGATTAACTAACCAACCACCAATAACAAAATACACGAACTCCTTGGCGGTGGTAATTAACTGTACTACTGTCAAATAACACATTACTACTTAGATAAAAAAGCCTCTTGTCTCAAACTTAAGTAAACTTTTTACTTGGCATAAGACGAGAGAAAATACTGTTCTTTTAAAATGAAGAGAAGGTGATGCGCACTTTTGAGTTGGAAACCCAAAGAGTGAAACGTTAAAAGTAAACACACTAGGAAATTTCGTTAATTGCTTTTGCCAAAATTTCAAAAAAGTTCAAACAGTCGTGGTTGTGGAAAATTTCCTAGTTTTAGTATTACAAGGCTTGCTATTAATATATATATTAATGTTGAACTCGTAAACTCATATTCCCAGACCCTATCGTACTAACTTTGGATCGAACTATCTCCAAGGGGATTCTCGCTTAATTGCAATTAACTTAAGCGGCTTAGATGTCTGTCACGCCTACTGAAGCTGATAGGGGTAATTAACAATCGTGTAGCAGCTTTACTAGGCGTCCCAGACACCTAAGCCACTTAAGCTGAAAGCAATTTAGCGAGAAAACCCTTGGAGATGGACCGATCCTGTTAGATCGATCTAGGGATGGGAACCCAGTCATAAAGTGAAAATTTGGGTTATATTCCAAAGTCACTTTCAACCTTGTATAAAACAAACAGCATCAACATCGTCTCTCGATTCAGTTGCAGGTTGTTTGATTTATTTTCTTTGAGCCGCGTAATTTCTATACGCCCAGATAATTTTTGATGTGATGATTAATGTGACAGTGTCTAGGATACGCGGTGGTGATTTTTGGCGATTATGCTTGGGAAACATGTTTATTTTGTCCATGAAGGTATGTCTCCCCCTGTTGTCCGATGTGAAATCAATGTAGCCAGCGTGAGGTGTTAACGGACGCAGACAAGAGTCACTGGACGAGATGCTTGATATTCTTTTTAACTGTAAGACCCTCTGTATGTGCGCCAATATAAAGGAACCAAATTTATATTTTTAATGAGATTGGTGTGGTCCACAAATTGTGATAAGAAATAGGTGCGTGTCATGCTGAAGTATTTCCATACGATAATTTATTGCAGTCATACAGACAAAATGTCTTATATACTCAGAATAACAATTAGTAAGATTTACAGGGTTTGTCATGTACATCGTCAACGTCGCTGCACAGTAAGTCAAAAGCATTATAATGGGCCTTTGAAAATCCACGAAACTCTCAATATTGACGCTTGACAAAGTCCTCGTGAGAAAATTGACAAAAACCAAATTAAAAAAGTTTTTCGCGTTTTTTTTTTACCTGCTTACTTCAGTTAAACGCTTCGAATAAAACTGCTGTGTTTTATGGGTTTGCTGAATTAAATACCGGCACGTATGAGAACAAGATCGACAAGAAATTTTATTTTCTAATAACAATCATTGTAATGGCGTGTAAACAACTATTTTTTTTACAGATAATTGACTCCAATTAACGATACTTGACTAACATGGATATAGCTCTGTAAAATGCTAGCATTTTAAAAATGTACATATGGATTATATCTCTTTATAGAGATTTTCACTTTGTACTTTTACATCAATTAAAAATTGAAATATAAAAATAGGGGAGAATATTGCTCACTTAAATGTAATTCTAGACAAATATATGCACAGATTTGGTTTACACGAAACCGCGATTACAGTAACGAGTGCAAAAAGCGGTTTCCCCCCGCACAATGCTTTCTATATAAAATTACTTATACAGGATAACAAAGGCGAGGTGACGCGAGGTATTGTGTGTATTTGGAAAGGTATATGCTTTGTCAGTGGGTAAGTCCTTTACCTCAAATAGGTCACACATTGTACCTGGGACACAGGTAACTTCTGTACAGGTAAACAGTCGCCCTGCCCCAGACCTGCTGCCGTGAGCTGGTCCTGACGGACAAGTGTGACTTTAATTTATTGGGCAGGGAACACAGGTGTAAAGTTATCAGAAGATCAGTTCAGAGGGCGGTGGCACGGGCTAGTGAGGTCCTCCACTAGTACAGCACCAGTATTCGGAAAGAAAACTTTCATAGTCGTCAAATATACGGACATCCTCTGTAGGTTGGAAATCGTCCTTTTTAACACATAAGTGTGATTTGGACCTCAGCCACATCAAGCACATTTGGTTATACTGGAGAGAAGGACAGACCCTAAATCACCCTGGGGACATTGGATGTAAGGTACACTAAGACGCAGTCAACCAGATTACAGCACAAGAGTCCCGTTAGACAGGGTGGCGTCTTACCTGTAACACGTAAGTGAATGGTCAATAGCAATTATTAATAGAAACCATTTTTAACATGTGTGGTGCTATGAACTGATTTTGTGCTCCAACAGCGTGCTCATAATGTTAAATTAAGAAAGCAGCGCCCTTTTTGTTGGGAAAAGGTCCCCTCTGGGCAAAATTTGATCTTGGTACATGAAGATTTTATGGAAAAAGGTCCACTTTTTCAGAAAAAAAGACCCCTTTTGAAATTGCTGGCTACGGGCCTGCGATAGTTTAAATGCGCATGAACCCTTACTCATACAATTATTAGAGTTTTAACCAAGCACAAAAAAAAACGTATAAATATATTGGTGTAAATAGGTGCCGATATGTGCACATTTCACGCCAGCTTTTCCATCTGTTAATGATTGTTGAACATCATGAATAGGTTTATACGATTTACCATTCATTCTTACTGATAGACTGCATGCAGCATGGAGAGAATGACGAGTTTTGGCAGTCTGTCAGCTTTAAAAAGCCTGAGATAAATCAGAAAAGTGTAAGGAGAATTCAGTCGACCAACACTGAACATATTATATAAATATTGTATCTGTCAAACCAGATAGTATCGTTTTCATATTATCATATGCGGTGACCTGTCCGTTTGGAGAAAAGCAACGAGTTCACTTGTTTGTCTGATCGCAGTTCACTGCTTTCTTCAGACAGATTGTCAACAAAGTATAGTCATAATACTTTTTGCTCAGGTGCCTCACTCTCTCTCTCTCTCTCTCTCTCTCTCTCTCTCACACACACACACTCACACTCACACACACACACACACACATACACACACACACACTCACACACACACACACACACGCACACACACACACACATACACACACACACATGCACATACACACACACACATACACACAGGTGCCTCTTAACAGGTATTAACCGCGAGCGGCATTCCACCCCTCTATTAAGTTACATCAACAGTATACCATTACATCTTATTTCTACTGCCGTGCCCAAGGATTCACACAGGTTCAGATTCTTTATTGTTAAACAGCTTCACACACATGAGTTTAAGGTACAGTCATTGACAGCACAACTGTCAAATTACACGAATAAATAAAGAAATAAACATTTAAATGAACATAAATACATTAATAGTCACATATGGATAAACCTGAGTAATGGAGGATAACTGAAATGACCTCAAACTATGCTAAAACTGCTTGCTAGGTACAGAAAATATACAGTCGGTCTTTAAAGTTGATTTCTTTAAATAAATGTTTTGCGGTCTTATTTATGGACCTCCCCTTTTTGTGCCCTAGGACAATTTTCTCTCAGCATTATGTGTGAGATAAACCACCAAAGACAGTAGCAAAAAGAAACGATTTAGTACAACGGGTACAACTGTGTCATCTATACCACAACATGTATCATGCACGTTACTGTCAAATACAAAACTTTTAGACGTAGAGATATCCGATAATTAATAACAGAGATAATCTTACAGAATATCTTATTTTTGTTTTTCAAGTGTTTCCGTTAAAAATGTGTGTTTATACTGCTGAATGCGATATGTAGATGTGTTCCGGTTATGTGAATTTCCTGTTTGATTTTATAACATCAGTCAAAATACATGAATGTACTTAAATACATCTCATCTTCCACTGAATCTTAACTGCCTGTCACTGCACATTAGGCTAAGTGTGGCGACTTCATTAATTTATCACCAAAATAGGGAGATTCTAATTTTTTATGGTAGCAGTCCATTCTTATGCAAAACATTATCTTTATTATCAACGGTGTAGAGGGAAATGCAGGTGAAAAAATAGGATATCGCCAAAGAACTGCTTTGTATGACTTATATGTTTTGTAAAATAATTATAATAAGTCTCGTATTTGGCTCAAGATTTAAAATGAGCCCAGATTACATATGATGCAGACAATAAAGTCCAGACATAATACCATTTAATCAGCGGCGGAAATAACCTCTGTTTCCAAATTGTTAGAAGAAGATTAAAACCTTTAAACTACATGTGCTTCGTTGTGCCACAGGTAAATGATGTATAATGTGGCATGGTTTAAAGATAGAAACTGAATGGTGTAAATAACATACATACGTTATCTATTTTTACTTGTATAAAGCGTGTTACAGTGTATGTGTCACTTCAAAGGGGCGGATCCAGGATTATTTGAAGGGGGGGGGGTCCGCAGATGCGAAGCCGACCCTTTCCCCCTCCCGTGGCGTGCGGGTCGGGGCCCGCTAAAGGGCCCCGAAAATTTTTGTTTCTTTAGAGGGCAAACGGTGCCATTTGGTACGGTTTAGAACTATGATACAGCTAGTCAAAATTCTAATTCCAACCTGACCCCCTCTCTAAATCCGCCACTGGAAGTCGTTAGTAATATAGTGATTTTCGTCTCTGTTATCATCATTATCATCACGTCTTCCTCACAAATTGCTCTTCAATTCGATTTTAACGCGTTTATCGTAAGGGATATTGGACGTAACTGCATCCGAAGCTGTTTGGCGTGGAGCACCTTGCAAGGAAGTGATAACATCTTCATCAGCGGACGGAGGGTAGAAATAACATTGATTAAATCTCGTCCTCCACGCCGTGCACGGGATAAATGGGCATTCTTCCGCAAGAGATCGACTTTTGACACTATCAAAATGTTAATGTTATTGCCTCACTTAAATATAGCTTGTTTTTATCTTACAAAATCTCTCTCTCTCTCGTTTTTTTACAAACAAAATCAGTACCCCGGGACCATAACATAAATATATAAATATATATACAGGTATCTGATATCTCGTAGCATTTTTTATTGTCGATGTAGATTCAGTCATATTAAACTATTGACTTAATAACCACCAAGTCTTAATTACTTGCGAGATGCTCTGAACGCCAAGGACAAACTGAACAAGAATTAAAAGAAAATTAAATACATAAGTAAAACAACATTACAGAACCCTTGTTTAGATGTAACAGGTGGGCTCAAGACAAGCCCCATTGAGAGCTGAACTAGTTTTTGAGCATTGCTACTACATTGTAGAAACTGTGAGCACAGTGAGGCATTAGAAAGTGAAAATCGATGAGCTCCATGTACTGTGTAAAATAGAAAGCTTTCCCAGACTGAGTTGCATAAGCATGGCAAATGTCTCGAGAAAATTGAATTAGTGGTCAATTTTTCACGACAATTTGAAGTCACTAGAATAATTAAATTCGCCTTATTTGTTCCTCTTAATACTTTAGACCAAACCACAGTGCCTTATTGCAAAACAGATCAATTTTACCTGAAATGGTTTATTCTTTTAAGATCAAAAGCTACAGAACACTCATGTCAGTATTACCTTAATACCACTTGCTACTTCATATTTCATTCCTACCCCCCCCCTCCCCAAGAAAAAAAAAAGAATTAATGACTCACAAAATCGAAGCTATTAAGATTGTGTATTACGATACTTCAATGTAAATGAACGGTTTTAATTTAGCGATTTGATATGAATGTGGACGCACAGACGTCAGAGCATAGAATTCAGCAAGTAAAAAGACGGAAGCCAAGCCAGCACGAACGATCAATTTGCATAGAATTACACCACAGCAGAGTGGAGTGAAACTTAAGGCTGGTTTATTGATGTTTTTACTCTCACTGCCTTACTTTACTGTATCGATGAACTGTGTTTTCACAACCGCCTGAAATCGATCGGAGGACGGGTGCATTTATCCACCAACAGTGGCCCCATCATACATCCACTGCCCCAAACATGAACGGAATAACCACTTTAATGATTATGCCGTTTCAGGGCTAACCAGGATGTGACAGTAACGGGGTACCAGCATAGTTAACACTGCGACGCGCTCGGCTCGACTGGACCGGGACCTCTCGTCTTGGGGCGGATTTGTCGTTTCTGATGCGTAAATAAAAGTCAAAGGAATCGGCTGGGGTAAGTTTCATTAAGTTGCCGAGTTGCGTTCGTTTTTTATCAAGTGGGCTTCAACGAAGTAGGAGTTTAGATGTACACTGAGACAACAGAGTGTAATGGTATGTACACCTTTTGTGTGGAACATGAAGTAAAGTTTTAGGTCATCGTTTAACGTGTGACTTAGTTATGTGTTGTATTTAAAGGTAAAGACAGCGTATAGAGAAACTATGGGAAGGAGATGAATGTCAATTTTGGTTCCTGTCCGCACTTGGTTGAAGACACGTTTGTTTGTGTGACTAAACTATAGTTTTATATTTGATTTTAACACCTGGTCTAGAAGGCCCGCTCGTTATTTCCATCCATCCTCGAAAGCGTTACTGTTTTTAATTCAATCATTCTTTGAATTGTGGTTCAGGTTAAACGTTTTTAAGAATATGGAGGGGGAGGCGTAGATGTTTTGCGAGCTATTTTATTTGGCATTCATCGTGTGTGTGTGTGCGCGTGCGCGCGTGCATGATGAGAGAGAGAGAGAGGCGGGGTATGTTATCTTCACATCTTCTTAGCAGCAGCCCTGCTCTGTTGATCAAATGTAAGTCTGCATAACATGTCCAGAGTTATCATAACACATAGGGAAGCCCCTCGTCAGTCTCTGGGGCAGGTGTACTAGTTCGCTAGACTTTTAGTGGTAAAAATTTTGCCATATCATGGTCCCCGTGAAAGTAATTTTATCCCTTAGGATGAGATACACCCTGGGATTCCAAGATTATATGACTGGAGACTATCAAGATGTCTTTACCGCTCGTACGTTACTAATAACAGCAACCCAGGGTGGATGAAATATGGCGTGAATTGTGGTGAAATTTTGATCCGCGCAAAGAACTTTGTGGTGACATTGATGAATAATATGATGTGACGTGTTATCTTCAGATCAACGGAGATGAACTCGTGGAGAGATAGAGTGGAAAACAGAACACAAAAAATACTCGTGGGATGCTGTTACACACGGCAACATGTACTTGGCTACAACGTGTCGTTAGTTTTGTATAAAAGAGACGAGATTCCCTGACGACCAATGTCCGCTTACCGTAACCAGATAATAACCAAATGTCAGAGGCACAAAACCACCATACAGCTAGGTCATCTATCAAATTTCAATAATAAAAGGAATATGTGTACTAAACCCCCGCTAAAAATACCACCAGAATCCTTTTTGTGAATGTTTTTTAAACAGAAAAGTTTACGCTTTGTGCGGTGCAATGCCATTATCTTATGAAAAGAAGAAATTCGTGGTATAGAAGAAAATAAGAGATAATATATTGTCGGAGGTTGAGAGCTGCAGGGTATGAGAGGAATAGTAGTCCGCTAGAAACAGTAGTCCTATCCCTATTACTTTGTACAGGTGACTTTCGTCCCAAAGACTAACCCCAATACTAACCCCAATACTCCAACTAACCTTAACTAGTACTAATCATTTGGGGCCTCGGACTTCCATGCCTAGGACACAAACAGATAAATACATGTATCATCCTGAAATGACACGCACCACCAGTGTTTAATTTATTTAAAATTTGCTGTTAATTAATTAAGTTTACAGGTAGCAGGCCAGGTTTTGGGAGGTGTGGGGTTGAGGGAAGGGGATGGAGGGTTGACACACATTTCTGGCACCTCTGTTGGCCCGTTGAATGTGACAGTAAATATTTGACCCGTGGCACTATTTCCAATAATTTTAATTCCTCGAGGGCAACTAGGGACAAAACAGACAAAACAGACAACCCCCTCGTCAGTCTCTGGGGCAAGTGTACTAGTCTGCTAAACTTATTGTATTTAGAATTTGGCGGTATCAGGGTCTCCGGTGAAGGTAATTTTCACCCGCAGGGTGACATACGCCCGCAGGCTGACATACGCCCTGACTGGAGACTATCACGATACCGCTATCGCTGCTAATAACAGCTACCCAGAGTGGATGAAATATGTCGTAAATTGGGGTGATATTTTGATTCGTCTTATAAAGTTTGGCGTGCTGACACACACATGTAAAACACAATCTAATGTTCATTAACAGCAGTAAACATATAATGATTGATCCACACCTAAACATATTAGACAACTATCTTATTATTATTATTTATGTGTCACTGATGATGCCCGTATCCCAAAACAATGCTTTCAGGATAGCTCTGACAGTGAGAGAAGTATATGAAACATGTGGGTCGTTATAGTCATATACAAGATTACATTCATTTTGTTATAATAGGACTAAAATAATCATGGTAGACAAATTAGCACAGTGACGGGAAAACTTTTCAGGTCATCACAGGGTCCGGGTCAGATTCTTGCCGGATTCATAGATCCACGGGGGGTGGGGGGGTGGAGGGGGTGCACAGTGGGTCATGTACCTCCACCTTAGTCTTAGATGTCATGAATCCCTTTCTTCCTCCTGTACAACTGTACACTAAGGAAACAAAGTTAAACAAAATTCCCATCCTGGCGCCCTACTTACACATATTGTGAGCGAAACGAAATCCCGGATCCTGTCTATAGCAGTACATGTCACACGTATGGGGATAGTCTTGACTGATACCGTATGTACAGCTATGATTTCCTAGCCCCGTGGACATGGAGTTCAGGGGCGGATTTAGGCCGTCTTCTGGGTCTTCCAGAAGACGGTCAGATTTTCAAGTTTACATTGACGGGTATCGATTTTTTCTGTCGGAAGACGGTCAAAAATGGAGGAGGGATCAACAAAGTTACTTTGGAAGACCGTCAGAAAATATATCTGAATCCGCCCCTGGAGTTGTTATTTATATATAGATATGCTTGGTCTTTTAACATTTCCTGAAAGTCATTGGAAGCAGCAAAAACAATAAAATACAGCGAACACAGCGGATGATACTGGTATATACATATGGTAGGCAAAACAGTGACTTATTATTATTACTGTCAAACTGTAACTGCTGGCAGATTGTAAAGGAGATCATATGCAGGGGACTTTGGGGTGAAGTGACACGCGAAAACAGCGACGCTGACTCTTTGACAGAGTGGAGAATTTTACCACTTCTTAACATAACCACACGTTCTGTACAGTCGTGATTTGCCTGTTGTTCACTAGGAAAAGAAACCACGGAGACAGCTTACATTCTAATATATAATGACATACAACACTGTGGTATGAGATAACATCATGTAGAAGTCTGGCAGAAACTAGTGGGGGCTAACGCTGTCAACTTATAAACCTTTGATAGTCCACATGGACAATAATGGCAGAAAAGAGACAGTCGATTTTAATATGTTCACTCGTGGATTAGCAGAGGGTCGACCGTCATTTTGGGCCGTGGACGACTACATTTCATCAACAAAAGGACCTCGTGTAAGTAATGCAAGGAGAAAGATGTGTCATGAATGGGAAGTGTCTACAGTGGCGGGCCCAAGGCAAGGTGACCCCCCCCCCCCCTTATAGCTTAGGATGCCCCCCCTTAGGTAAGGAGGCCCCCCCCCCCCCCATTTCTTAATAGTGTTGCAAGCGAAGGCGATTTTTCCATCCTTGTACACTGCATAATATATAATAAGCTGGCTTCATCTATTAGGTCCTTAATTGTACTCTCCTCATCGTTAAACCATTGGATATTGGACGCCGCATCAAAATAGTTTTGCTTAGAGAAAGTTACTGTAAGTGCTCGAAACCCAGGGAATTAATTGACGGTTTTCAATCACACCCGCCAGATCGGAAATTAACGTTTATTATGATGTATATAAAAAAGCGATGTCCCGATAAAATTCTATATGACTATAGCAACGCATTAGAAACTTGCATGCCATTCCATCGTGTAACAGAGCTCAGTGCTTGTCTAAAATTTGATAAAATTAGAAATATGATAATGTAATTACACAGTCAGCCATGTAGTCTCTGTACAATGTCATATGGTAGACCTGCAGCTCTGGTGAAGATGATGTCTTGATGAAGACTATAAAAAGTTTATGTAAACTACTGAGCCACATAAAAAAGTCCCATATGTTTTTTTTTTTCATAGTCAAACTCAACTGATGATTATCTGAACAGGAAACTGATGTTCCTATTACCAGCTGGCTCTGTTCGGTGCTATCAAACCGCGTCTAGTCACCTTAGAACTGCAGTAACATAAGATTTCCGAGAACTTATACCAGGCGTGGGTTCTAGGAATACGCCAATAACTTGATCAAATTAAAATAAACAAATACAGAGAATGCCACGACAACACAGAAGAGGTCTTCTGCAGTTNCCACCACCATTTTTCCATCCTTGTACACTGCATAATATATAGTAAGATGGCTTCATCTATTAGTTCATTAATTGTACTCTCCTCATCATTAAACCATTGGATATTGGACGCCGCATCAAAATAGTTTTGCTTAGAGAAAGTTACTGCTCGAAACTCAGGGAATTAATTGACGGTTTTCAATCACACCCGCCAGATCGGAAATTAACGTTTATTATGATGTATAAAAAAGCGATGTCCCGATAAAATTCTATATGACTATAGCAACACATTAGAAACTTGCATGTCATTTCATCGTGTAACAGAGCTCAGTGCTTGTCTAAAATTTGACAAAATTAGAAATATGATAATGTAATTACACAGTCAGCCATGTAGTCTATTTACAATAACATATGTTAGACCTGCAGCTCTGGTGAAGATGATGGCTTGATAAAGACTATAAAAAGTTTATGTAAACTATTGAGCCACATAAAGCAGTCTCATATGTTTTTATTTCATAGTCAAACTCAACTGATGATTATCTGAACAGGAAACTGATGTTCATATATACAAGCTGGCTCTGTTCGGTGCTATCAAACCACGTCTTGTCACCTTAGAACTGCAGTAACATAAGATTTCCTAGAACTTATACCAGGTGTGGATTCTAGGAATACGCCAATAACTTGATCAAATTAAAATAAACAAATACAGAGAATGCCACGACAACACAGAAGAGGTCTTCTGCAGTTACCATTCTCTTCATCGAACATCATCGTAACATGATATCAG